AGCCTCAGATTAATAATGCGTGGCTGCATGCGTATGTATATGCATTTATACCTGGGATGTGAGCTGGCTGTACCAGCCGAATGCTCTAACACTCGTGTTTTTGTTAATCGCCTGAGCAATCTGCCTTTTTTCGATGATGGATACAGCTGTAAAGGGGCCGGCCATAAATGACGTGACACCGTGTGACGAGGGGGGGGGGAGGTCAAAAATCGTCCAAAATCGCGTGACGTCATTTATGGACGACCCCAAAGGGGGTTTTCAGCCGTTGCTTATACACCACTGCATCATCACCACCCTCTCATCCCAGATCTCTTGGCCCGGTCATTCCTTCTTCCCGTCCTCCTCCCCTTCCTCTCTGGCGCTTCTGATTTCTGGCAGTGACCAACTCACCCGGAATGCTCCCGATCTCATCAGATCTCAAAATGCTAAGCAGGGCTTATCCTGGATAGCGCTTGAATGGGTAGCCACAGTGGACAACCGGGTTGTCATCATGTTGCGAGGCTACGCCATCGACGGCAGAGGACAGTGCAGAATAATAATTTGTTGTAATCTCCTCCTACTCTCCAGTGTCTATGCACCCCACCTTCGCCCAAACCACACTGACCAGCATGCTGAAGCATGGCCACGTAACGCCCGCGGCCCCCTCAAGGCGTGGGGAAGCCCTCATCCAGGTAGTGGATTGACACAAGTGCTGTACGTGTGAACGGATGTATACTTTCAGCAGTTGTCTCTCAATGTCATTTGGCAGACATCGGCTCTGCCCGTCTCTGTAAGTCCGTCAGTTAAAACCCCTTGCTGGGATTGCACTGTGAATATATGAATACAGACAAGGCAGAAATTCTCCGTCGATATGTTCCGGAATGCCTCTGAACTGGCTTAAAGTAGGGATTATCGGCATGAGGACAGACCATCGTGCAACGTATAACGATGCAATGCCCGACCCATGAATACGAAGGAGACATTGCAGCGATAAGCTCCCCTGCTCCTGGCGCAGTTATCTGGCTTGACCACCTGAATGTGAATTTGTAGTTGTTGCTCTGTAGGAGAATTAGAAGATTGGCATTAGGCGCTCCCACTCAAGTGCAAGCTACGCCTACTCATAATAAATTTTTATTATTGTATCCTAAGTAGTAATTCTGTCGTCATATGAACAGGTTTAGGGCAAAATCGTCATATGAGCAGGTTTAGGGCAAGGCGAGGTGGATGTGGTGTCCTGAAATAGTACCCAGCACAGTGTTCCACACTGTTTCGGCTGCAATGAGCACTGAATACAGATTCTCAGACGTGGCTGAGTGGAGAAACCCAGCTGCGGCAAGACCCCAGGAGAGAGTTGGCCGTGCAGCGTTTTGCAAAAATGTGATTCTGGGCAGAATGGGGTGGGCAGGTGGCCGGCACGGGCAGGTTTCTCGGCGGTTGAGCGAGCGGCTCGCAAGCAGAAGTGTTGCAAGTTTGACTCCTGGTTGTGGTGCGGTTGGTCGGGGTAGCGGGTGTGACATACTCATCCCTCTCATCATCCCTCCCTCTGGGGTCAATAAAATAAGTACCGCTTCGCGGGGAAGTATACAATGGTTGTCTTATGGAATAGGCTCGCTCCTGTAATAGGAATGTGGAATTTCAACCACTGCCTCTTGCAGAGCTCTAAACAGGGGGATGAGCAATGCCTCGATACTCGTTTTAGGAGCAGGGGAAATCGCTCGGACTTTTATTGTTGAGCGCACAGCATGAAGATGAAATGGAGAATGAGGACACGGTAAATATTTTCATTTGTGAAACCATTTGTTTTCACCACAAAAGCGTTCAAAACAACAACAATATGGTACATGTTATTGAAAAAGCAAAAGTAGATATACAGGGCTGAGGATTTATGTTATAATAAAAATTAGATCAAGTGCAGACCATAGGGGAGGAGTTTATCAATTTTAAATATCAACTATAATCACCCAGGAATGTCTGCCCTTAACGCTCGTGACGTCACTCCACATCTACCAGCCCCCTTCATTAATATTCATGAGCAGGTGACGTCCTCCAAATGGACAACCTTCCTCATGAATAATCATGAGCGGGTGACGTCACTCAATATGGAGTACTACCCCACCCCCCCCATTATTATTAGCTACAATAATGAGCCAAGAATGTCTGTGTGCAACACTCGTGACGTCACACACGTCGACCAGCCCCACTCATTAATAATCATGAACAGGTGACGTTCTCCACATGGACCCCCCCATTCATAATAATTAGCGGCTGACATCACTCCGAGGCACCTCTACCCCCTCCTCAGCGTCAACTCACAACCCTCACTACAAAGGCAGAACCCTCACGTCACGCGATCTCCGTAACGCTATTGAGACATCAAAGTAAAAAGGACGTCGTGATGAACAAGGGATTGTAAGCTTAAAATGAAATAGGTCTGTGTCACCGCGGCCTTACAAATTGCACACGAATGGATGCAATGAATATCTCACGTCGCGGTCTGCTTTTCGCTTGCAAGTTTCAGATTTACTGCAATACACACGTCCTTGGACGGGCAAAAGGCCAGTATAATAATATTTGTTTTCCCATGCCGATGAGTTGACCTGATCTGATAGCTGCAGTTTGCGTTAGTTTTGTGCCTCTCGCACAGCGACGAGTAAACACATCTCTTGCGTTGAGAGCAGTTGACATTTTTACTTGGCACACAATGGCAAGGTTTTGCACCGACCGTTCTCATTAATGTTGTTGTGTTCCAAATTGAAAAAAAAAATTACGTCAAAATATGTTAGGTTCCAAAGCTTGCAAAAGTAAATAAATGTATGGATATTCCATATTAGGGCATGGCTTTGTTGTTAATTATGAGCAAAAGGAAAATGTACAGGTGCAGCCCAGCCACTTGTTTCTCACACCACTGATGCAGAAAGAGCCTGCATTAGATGGAGCCCTAGAGAGCCCATCTAGACGGTATTTGGCCTACTCTTCCACCACACATACCAGACCTCTTGGAAGAGTTGGGTGTACCCACACATCTATTCTTGCTCCTCTTGGCAATGTGTTGATGAGCTAAATGCTCATGTTGAGGTCTGCTAACCCCAAGATGGCTTCAGGAGAGAGAGAGTTCATGTAGTTTCATCATTCCTTCTCCATTGAATGAGCGCAGACCAGAGTGGTTTATTATATGGTCCGCGATTGAAAACTCGCGTCTTTAGAACTGCTTCTTGTGTTTAGTTTGTCGTTCTTCCCCCGCTCCTCCGATTAGCATAGTTGGCTACGTACGTTGCGAAAGAAGTTCAACATAGTGTGGGTTGCATGGCTACGATCGCGTTGCTGTGGCTTGTCTTTAATTTGCCACACTTTACCTCCCCTCACCCCCCCCCCCCCCCCCCCCATATACGATCACCCGATCAACTGCTCTTTACCCATTCATACTCCAGGGTGGACAGATCGTGTGGCGGAAGCGTGGGGCGGGGGGAGGCCGGGTATATTGAAGAAATTTGCGCCATCGTTTCAACCGCCCCCATCGATGAAAGAGGCAGAGACCATAAACTTACCACACTTGAAAACCCGGTTGAGACGCGGATGGGTTACCCGCATTCAAACTGTGGGTTCCCAGTGGCGGTGGGTTCAGCGCTGTGACCCCCCTGCGACAGCCGCCGCCTCCAAGCAAGCGGCGTTGTTTCGCCGCGATGGCGGTGCTCTGTGGGAGTTCCTAGCGGCCTTCGACGTTTTTGCTTCAGCCGGCGTTCTTTTTGCTCCTCGTTGCTCAACGGTCTGCGCTAAAAGTGCTCGCCCAGAATGGAAGCCGAGAGTTTGGCTCTGCGCGCGGCGATGATGGGGCCAAGAGAAGGCAAATAGAAGAGGGCGATAAAAAGAAGCACCATGGATAAATGGGATTTTATTCGGGGAGCGCGTGTGGGGGAGACTCTGTTGGGTCGCGGGAGCGCCGATGCCTCGTTTTTACTTTCGGCTGAAGGAGACCTTTGTTTATCAGCAGGGTCACCCAGAGGACGTCAGCCATGAAGCTCTGTGAAAAAGAGCGTTATAGCTCATCGGATTCCAGCCGCTATAAATAAATATTTTGTTTCTGAAAAATGGGCGATTGGCCTCCTGACTTTACTCAAAATAGGGCCTCGGAAACAGGCCAGATTTATTGTTGCTAATTCGTAAGGGGTGGTGGGCCCATGTGACATTCCACCCTGGCCCTCCAGCCCTAACGCTACAGAAACCTCTTCGTTTAAACCTCTAAAAACGACCCTGTTTTAGCAGTTTACCACAAATAATGCCTGGCAATCGACCTTTTTTGTTTACGTGAAGGAAAAAAAAAGTGAGCACAACTCATTTGACAAAGCCATTTGCGGAAAAAAATCGGGTTAGAAATTATAATCCACCTCAAGGAGTTAGTGCAGTTTGTTATCTCTGTCTTTCTTATTTTCGGAGTAAATCATTGTATTATGCCACCTTACAAGAGACCACAGCGTCTTGTTATTTCGTTTTCTTGCTGATGTAGATGCAAAACAACAACTGCACTATCGCATGCAGCTGATCAAGCCCTAATAACTGCGTCAGGAGCAGAGGAGTAGTTTATCGCTGCGATGTCTCTTTCATATTTGTGGATGGGGGCATTGTCATTATATGTTGTACGATCTCTGTTCTGGACGGCCACAGTCGCACACTACTGGAGTTTTTAATTTACATTTGTGCATCATGTATCCGCATCTGCCATGGTTTGTACGGATGCGGTTTAGGGTGGACCATGAGCTTCGTGGAAGATCAAACCCAGGGGATCTTCTGCGTTGAGTCTTTCACCTGTGCTGGTTTGAAACAGTCAGGTGGGCCTGCCTCCCATGCATCCTGGGTTTAACCAGGCTGAATTGTGCTGAGCAGCTGAGAGATAGTTGAAAGATCTTATTCAGACAGTATTCCCACCAGTGGGTTTCTCGGGAAGGCAAGGTGGTTTTGTCTGGGTCGTGACCACTACCATCACCAGTGACTGACTCTGTGTGCGCACATGTGTGCTGTGCCCACAGGTGCTGGTGAGTCTGGGAAGAGCACCATCGTCAAGCAGATGAAGTGAGTGCTACCCGCACCATCATTAATACCATCACACATATCGTCACCAGTACCATCGTAGCCAACGATAGTCCCCTCGTGCGTGAGTGGCGTGTATGTGCGTGTGTTTTATGGGGAGTGGTAGTGTAACAGTTAGCGTGCTGCGCTACGAACCCAGCAACCCGAGTTCGATTCCCGCCACCACTAGTGAAAATTATCTAAACTGGTCGTGGGACTCTCCTTGGTCGACTCAGCTTCAAATGAGTACCTGGTGCGGTGTGTAAACGCTGCTAGGTGAACAAAGGCGGCCAGGCGTGGTGCTGGCCACCCATCCCCTCGTGTGTGTGCTGGGCTTCATAGGTGCTACTCGCTAACAGCAATTGTCTCAACAGTCTGTTAAGGCTATATGGGAGATCTTTGTCTTGTGTGTGCATTTGGGTGTGAAGGCTGTGTTATATATCCACGGAATTTACATCTGGTTACAGATACAATGAGGCTGCGGTGGTGTAAAGGTTAGTGGGCCTGATTGAAAATCTAGCTGGCTGTATTTAATTCCCAGCCATGGCTTAAATCAGGGGTGAGCGATTAAATGATCCGCTCCCAGGGCAAAATCCTTCACCAACCAACACTAACCAGCGTGGTGAAGTATGGTTAGAGAACCTCCACGACAGACACTGCATGAGGAGACCTCCATGCTGATGATGATCATAATTATGAGCTTAATAATTCAAAATGTTACTGCAAAATCAATTATGTGCCGCTGAAACTTGGTCGTCTGAGTGTGGGCTATTGTGTGGGTCGAGGTCGCAGCTCCCTTCAATGTGTCCCTCGGTTTATCTAAATCCCGCATTAAGATTTTTTTTCTTAAAGGCCTTTTCTCCTGATTAATATGGTTATGTGTTTGGGAGTGTGTGTGTGTGGGGGGGGGGGGGGGTATTTGTATCTGTGGTTAAATTATGAACCTGCGTACTTATATTAGGTTTTAGAATTGCGTTTAGTTATTGACTTACTTGCCTTTAGCTATGTGCAGTGCCTTGAGACCTCTGGGTGAAACGTGGTTTATTGGTGTAAATTATTATTATTATCATATTGGTCTGCACGCTCCATTGGCCATCCTAGCATTGCCCTGCAGGCAGCACCCTGCAGCGTGTGACATCTGAGAAAGTGAGCCCCCAAGCTAGACTTCGAAAAGCTGCTTCGGCACGAAATGCTGGCCTTCCCCAAATAACAGTAGCGCAATATCACCAGACTGGAGCACCGCCCGAAGCCCTGAGCATTTGACGACGCTAAAACGAACCACGGTACCTTGCTGATCTCGTCAAGGAGCTATAAACCATCACACGCGGACGCTCCGGTGATCCTCGCAGCGGCGGCTTTTGGCTAAGCCATCGGACAAAGACGGTGGTCACCGCATCGCGCGCTTTCAGATGCGCCTGGAACGCTCTTCCTTCCGATATTCGGAAGCCACTGGAGCTGTGCACTTTTAAATAATCCAGATTGAAAACTCATTTCTTTAGAACTGCTTTGTGTGTTTAGTTTGTTGTCCTTGCCCCGCACCTCCGATTAGCACGGTTGGCTACGTACGGTGCGGAAGAAGTTCAACGTATATACACACACACACACACCCGGACTTGAACATTTCGGGCCCTCTCGCAAGGTTCACTCACCTTCAGTTGATCCAGCGACGGTTTGGTCATCTTACCCCGGTTGCATACACTCTTGCCATCACCCCCTCTCTCTCTGCTCTCTCTCTCCCTCCCTCCCTCCCTCTTCTTTCCCCCCACTCTCTAGATCAGAAGGAGGGGGTGTTTATTTAATCAATCGGTCTTTACCTCGTTTCCACGCTTGTTTTGTGTTGAAACGGGTCAATGAAATAAAAACCACGTGAACCGGCCGCAAGGAATATATCTCCCCGGCTCCATCGTGTTTCGGCTCACGTGGGGTTCCCCTTTGGAGCCTGGAGGCTCCTTCCTGCCAGCAGAGTTGTTAACGGGGAATTTCAGGGCTGCACCTTTTCCATTTTTTTCTTCAGAGAATCGCTTAATTCGAACAGCGTTCGACTCCCGGCTGCGCAGATTCAACGTTGAATTTTTTTTTTACGGAGTATTTAAAAACAAAGGGGGGTTTTGTTTCCGACTCGCAGTTCTGAGAGTTAGCATTGGCAGGGTGCGTGGAAAGTTTCACTTCACGGTGATTGGGTTTTGGGGTTTGGTCCTTTTTCTCTCTTCTGAAAATACGGGATGCCTCCTCAGATGGACATATAAATAGTCGTAATATTTCCCAGCCAATGGCAATACACAAAAAATAGCATTCTGTCGAGACCGTTTTGGTACGGGTTGGGGGGGGGGTGAGCGAGGTCGTGCGTGAGTCACACTGCTGAGAACCCAACTTGTATTTTCGGTGGGATCATGTTTACAGGGAGTGGTGGCGCAGCGGTTAGCGCACTGCGCTACGAACCCGACGATCGGAATTCGATTCCCGCTCACGGCCAACACCCAGTGACAATTATCTGAACCGGTCCTGGGCCTCCCCTAGGTCGACTCAGCCTCAAATGAGTACCTGGTGCGTGTGTGTAAAACATTTCCACTGGGGAGACAAAGGCGGTCAGGCGTGGTGCTGGCCACCCACCCCCGCGTGTACCGTGCCGACCTTCAAATGGTGCTCGCTAACAGCACTTGCCCCAACAGTCTGTTAAACTATACAGGGGATATTTGTCTTAATTTTTTTGCGTACATGCACATGTGGCGAGTGGTGGCGCAGCGGTTAGCACACTACGCTCAGAACCCGCGGACCTGAGTTTGATTCCCACTCATGGCCAACCTTCAGTGGCGAATATCTAATCCAGTTCAGGTCTCACCTACGTCGACACAGTCTCAAATGAGCATCTGGTGCAGTGTGTTTAAAAAAAACATCGTGGGAGGGGGAGACAAAGGCGGCCGGGCGTGGTTCTGACCACACCACCGCCCTTGCATGGTATTCTTGCCTTCATGGGTGCTCACTAACAACTACACTGGACCATTTATTTTATTTTACCAGGTAAGCCCCACTGAGCTATATAGCTCCTTTTAAGAAGTAACCTGGCCACAGGTCACGTGGAAATTGATAGCAGCCAAATACGATTATAAATGTGGAGAAAACATCCGGAGGACCCGTAGAAAAATCCACGCGACCACGGCGAGAGAGACACGCAAACTCCGAATATACAGCAGGCGTCAGGGTCGGGATCGGGATCGAAGCCACGACCTCCTGTATACCTGGCGAGGTAGTTAACATCTCGCCACCGTGGCGCCCCAACACTTGCCCCTGCCCCTGCCCCCCCAAACAACCTGTGAGAAAAGCTACCCAGTGAGAAAAGCTGCGTGTGTTCCCATTGTGATTGCGCGCCCCTTGTTGTGAGCAGGATCATCCACGAGGCTGGGTACTCGCCTGAGGAGTGCCGCCAATACGCCGCCGTGGTGTTCAGCAACACCATCCAGTCCATCGTGGCCATCGTGCGGGCTATGGCCAGCCTCAAGGTGTTATTCGCCAACCCGGCCTGCGCGGTGAGTTCCCCCGGTCTCGCCATCGGACGCTGACGCTGAACGTTAAAATAACCATACATTGCCACTGGTATTGGCCAAACATCCAAATGCGAGCAAGTGATGTGCAAATTTCTCAATTTGGGATGACGCATAGCAGCTTTTCCTCTTACTATACTGCGAAAACTTGGGAAAACCCTTCTGAAAAGATTATTGGGACTCTTATTAATCATCACACCAAAATAGTCTCATCAGACAATGGAATGTAAAAGTGCGGCCATCTAGTGTGGAGCAAGAGGTGACCTGAAATTAATTTCGAAGTAATTCTGTGATATCGTCTTCCGTGGACCGTTCTCGCACAGCTCTGTGAGAGATCCGAATGGATTTTTCGTCTCTTGACATGACATCGAGAGCACAATAGAAATACAATTGTGGGAATATTTTTAATATTGACATCGGTCAACAAATCAATGAGTTGTTGAAAGAGCCCGTGCTGTCCCAACATGTGCCCAGGTTGCTGTCGGTGCTGTTGCTGCTGCTACTTCTACTGCTTCTATTGCTGCTACTGCTGCCGCTAATGCTGCCGCTGCTGCTGCTGTGTGGCCTGCAGGAGGACGCTAGGAGGCTATTGGCGCTGGTGGAAGCGCAGGAGGAGGGCGTCTTGTCGCCGGAGTTGGCGGCCGTGGTGCAGCGGCTGTGGGCGGACCCTGGCGTGCAGGCATGCTTCGGCCGCTCCCGCGAGTACCAGCTCAACGACTCCGCCGCTTAGTGAGCGCCGTCCCGCTCCACCTCGCTCCACCTTGCCCCACCTCGCTCCACCTCGCTCCACCTCGCTCCACCTCGCCCCACCTTGCTCCACCTCGCTCCACCTCGCCCCACCTCGCCCCACCTCGCCCCACCACGCTCCACCTCGCCCCACCTCGCCCCACCTCGCCCCACCATGCCCCGCCACGCTCCACCTCGCCCCACCTTGCTCCACCTCGCCCCACCTCGCTCCACCTCGCTCCACCTCGCCCCACCTCGCCCCACCTTGCACAGGGATCCCCTCCGTGCCTCCCTGTGCCCTGTTCTCTTGTTAAATTCAGGAAGCTGGACGGATTTTGGGGTAGTGACCGTTCGGAAGAGAGTATCAGCGTTGTGTGCCACAATTTGAAAATTGCTCGCTTGTTGGATAAAGCCACGTTAGCAACAGCACCCCCTGACTTTTAAACGACCTGGTACACCCGTACTCGTCCGTGAAACAGAGGCGCCTTTGTGATAGCCGTGTTCGCGGTGTGGATGCCAACGGTGCGGATGGTTTTATTTCAGCCAGTGTTGCACCAGTGGCTCGCCGCAGTCACCTGTATTATTTGCCGACAAATTAGCAGTCACGTGGGCACTGAGTCGCTGACCTTCGACAACCTTTGACGAATAATTATTAAAACCTGTGCGCAATTCAAAATATTTAATTTTTGGAAGGATGACAGCGATGGATGGGTTGTATCTGTGCCAGTGGTGCATTGGTTAACGCAATGCGCTATGAACTCGACGACCAGACTTTGTTTCCCGCTCATGGCCAACACCACTGACGTTTATCTGAAACGGGTCCAAGGTCTTCCCGAGGTCGACTCAGTCTCTGATGAGTACCTGGTATGGTGTGTAAGCATCGCTACTGGGGAGACAAAGGCGGTCAGGCGTGGTGCTGGCCACCCGCCACCTCGTGTGCCGAGCCGGCCTTTATCGGTGCTCGCTTGCAGCACCTTCCCTCAACAGTCTGCTAAGGCTATACGGGGGATCTTTGTCTCTGTGTGCGTGAGTAAGCTGTGTATTGTGCTAACCGGTGCAGCTACCTGAACGACGTGGCTCGGATCTCGCGGGCCGACTACGTGCCCACTCAGCAGGACGTGCTGCGCACGCGCGTCAAGACCACGGGCATCGTGGAGACGCACTTCATCTTCAAGAGCCTGCACTTCAAGTGGGTAGCAGCAAACAACATGGGCGAGTGGTATGCGCACAGTTCAAATACTGAAAGAAATTTGACAAACATTCACCCCACTGTCACCCGTCTTTGCCCCCCCCCATGCCTTTAACAGACTGTTTGGGGATGAGCTGTTAGTGAGTATCTATGGAGGCCAACGAGGCCTCCAAAGTGGGGTGGTGTGGCCAGGACCACGCTCGGCCGTGTTTGTCTCCCCGAGTAGTGATGTTTGCACACATCACACCCAGGTACCGTACTCATTTAAAAAGGGCGAGTCGATCTAGGGGAGGCCCTGGACTGGTTCAGATATTCGTCACCGATGTTGGCTGTGAGTGGGAATTGAATTCAGGCTGCCAGGTTTTCATAGGGGGGCAGTCTGCTGACCACTGTCAGGGATATTTGTATTTACCTTGCATACAAAGGTAAAGACAAATATCCCCGACATACCCTGAACAGACTGATGGGACAAGTGCTATTTGCAAACACCTACGAAGGCCGGCACAGCACACGGTGGGGGGGGGGGGGCAAGCACCACATCTGGCCGCCTTTGTCTCCCTAGTGGCAACGTTTACACACCGCACCAGGTACCCATTTGAGGCTGAGTCGTCCTAGGGGGAAGGCTCAGGACCTGTTCACATAATCATCACAGCAGGAATCGAACTCGGGTCGCCGGGTTGGTAGCGCACCACGCTAATCGCTACACTATCGCTCGCATTACCACACACGCACGTGAACGGACACACACGCTCATTCACAAGTTCGTAAAAACGAGCAAGTTAATCTCTGAATATTTCAGTTGTGTGAGCTCCCTTGGCTACGTCAATATTTGTAGAGTTGCAACTCCCGCTTGCAGACGGTGGCATCTGTTTTTTTAATTTTTTTGTTTAAATTATTAGCTCTGGAAGGTGTGGCTGGTAGAACGGGGACGAGAACAAACATCTTATATTTGGTTTTCATTAACGCTGGCCACAGACGCGAGCCATAACTTGACACTGACTTCAGCCGGATTTGTGCCAGCAGCCCCAAGCAGCCAACCCAACCTCGCTCCCCTCCACCCCTCGCCGCCCCCTCCCCAGCCCCCTCCCCACTCCTGCCCGTGCCTGGGGGCCTCACACAAACACACGGAATTTTCCAATTATGGTGCTCTTGCAATCACGCCATCGGATGCATCCATTTTCCATTTGGGACGCTGGCAGCGAGCGACGCGCCACCTCGCGTTACAGGGAACGGCTGCGCAAGTTGACGTAGCAGAACTACTCCTCGAGTCACTTCAGTTTCGGGTAAACTAGGGGCGCACCTGTTTTTTAATATGCCATTCCCAAAATAAATAACCCTCCCCCCCCCCTCATATTTTCCTCTCCGTATAATAACGGAATGTATCGTTTGCACAGCCCATTGAACCGCACGGTCCCCTCCGCAAGTGCGTCTCATTATCAGCAGCAATGGTTCAATGGAAGTAAAATCCCGACCGGTTTTGACATCGAGTGTCTCACCAGCAGAGTTTGGCCTGCTTGAACCATTGCTGGTTAAGTGCCATATATATAGGAAAGGACAGCTTCTGCAGGGATTATTGCTGAAGGCGACGTAAAGACTGTTGCATATCAGACGGAAACGTTTAATTCACAGTGCTGAATAACATAAATTAAGCCAAATCAATCCGATGTTTTCTTTTTTATGGGCAGGCATTGTTGGAGGGTGAGCTGAGACCATCATAATCGACAGGTTTTGGACAGCAGGGGTTGCGCAGTGGAAACACTTGTGCCTCACAGCAAAAAGGGCCCGAGTTAAATTCCCGACTTGGGTGCCTCTTTCTCTATGGAGTTCATATGTCCTAGCCCTGTTCCGAATGGGGGTTTTATCCCCTCCTGAGTTCTCGAGTTTCCTCCCATAGCTAAAAAAAATAAGTACAACATATCTGGTATTGCCCAAAAAATGCCCATTGCTCAACAAAAACATCTGCAAATTACTCAAACTGGGATTGCACATAGCACCTTCGCCCCCCCCCCTCTCCTTAACTGCGACCACTAAGCAGGACCCTCCTGTAAATGTGTCTTGAGACTCTATAAAAAAACTATCCACTTTTTTGATATTTGACTAGATGAGGCCCACTGGGCACTATAGCTTTTCCAGAAGTGGCCTGGCCACAAACGATAGCTCAAGCAAGCGGCTTATGTGGAAATGTATCGCAGCCAAATACTGTAAACGCGTGATTTTGATTCTAAATGTGGAGTGAAAAACCCGTAGAAAATACACGTGACCACAGGGAGAACATACAAACTCTAAATATACAGCAGGCATCAGGGTCGGAATAGAACCTCCGACCTCCTATATACCAGGTGAGGCAGTTAACATCTCGCCAATTATAATAATAACAGGTGGCTAAAGCATATGTTGAAAAGCCCAGCATATGAGCCGTGCCGGCACAGTGGTCTGATAATTGTATTATTCTTCTGGGTCACCTGACCTCATCACCCACAGTAACCGTTGAGGATGCATGTGCGTCACATGCTACCTCACATATCCATTGGCAAATAAACCCACAGATATACGACGAGAGATGTTGTAATTTGATCTTTCGGGACAGATGAGACAATAACTGTCATCGGGCAGCTGTTAAGATTGGATCAGCACTTGAACTGATTATTTCGTTGGCACCATTAATTTGCTTCCTTTGTGCTGCCTGCGATAACGTCGATGCAGCATTTTAAGTGCTCGCTTTGGCCTGGGAGTGAACTGAGTCAGATAACTGGGAAATTTTATTTAGGTAATTAGGGGTTAATGGTGGAAGCAGCGGCACAGTGGTTTAGCGCGCTGCGCGATTGAACCTGGTCCGATTCCCGGCCACGGCAGACATCGGTGGTGGGTGATATCAGAACCGGTGGTGCCATTTCCCCCCTTAGCCAAACCACACTAAGCCAGCATGGTGAATTATGGGCAAAATACCACCACGATTCATGTAACATTTCTCCCTAAGCATGTGCGCGCACACGGATGCATGCACAAACACACACGTGTACACAGCACAAGCACGTTGCAAGTGCATAAAAGCATACATATGTGACCACATGTGCATGCACATGCGTACACAAAGACAAAGATCTCCAATATAGCCTGAGACAAAGTGCCGTTAGCCAGCGCCTATGAAGGCCGGCACGGCGCACGAGGGGGTGGATGGCCAACACAACGCCTGGCTGCCCTTTGTCTTCCAAGTGCCAATGTTCACACACCACACCAGGTACTCATTTGAGGCTGAGCCGACCCAGGGAAGGCCCAGGACCGGTTCAGATATTGCCACTCATTGGTCTTGAGCGGGGTATCCAACTCAAGTCTCTGGGTTTATAGCGCAATGTGCTAAACCACTATAATGGCTGTCCACGTGTGCACACAAATACACACAGCCCACGCACTCCCGCCTACCATTCTCGGCGCGCGCAACAACTTTTAGCCGAAATGTGTTCTCGCTTGTTCTTTTTCCCCCCCCTCACAACTTCGGCACTTTTTTTTTTAATTTGCTTACAATATATTCTCGAGACGATATTGACAGGTGGTTTTAATTGTGTGGGGCCACAACACAAGAGCATTGGCACGGCGAGAGTTGTTTTGGCTCCGTGTGCCCATGTTTGGGGATGCATTGAAGACCGAGGTCCGATTCACTTTGGATCCGGAAGAGGATTTTTTTATTTTTTTTTGCTGAACAGTGTATACGTATGCCAATCCGCCGTTTGCCACCCAAAAAAACAGGATCTTTCCTAAATGTACGCGCAGCGTGATGTCCGAATACGAGAACTGAGCCCGAGCCCCATGTCATTACGTTGCGAACCCTGAGAAAATATTCCAACCCTGAAAAACAAAGGATAATTGTCAAAGCTTTTTCGTGAATGTGGGTGTAAATGAGCTTGTGTTGTTGATTGATGAGTCGGGGGGGGGGGGGGGTAATAGGGATTTACAGAAAGACAAAGGCCGGCCAAGGCGCTAACACACCGTGCCTTGTTGTGCTGTGTGTCAAGCCGTGTATTATTGAGCTGTATGTTACTGTGCTATGTGTTAGTGTGCTGTGTTATTGAGCCGTGTGTCACTGTGCTGTGCCGTGCAGGATGTTTGACGTCGGTGGCCAGCGGTCCGAGCGTAAGAAGTGGATCCACTGCTTCGAGGGCGTCACCGCCATCATCTTCTGCGTGGCTCTCAGCGCCTACGACTTGGTCCTGGCAGAGGACGAAGAGATGGTGGGTCCCCCTCCCTCCCTCCCTCCCTCCCTCCCCCTCCCCGACAGCACCACACGGAACGGGGCTCCATCTGACTCCGCGGGGCGTCACTTGAGACCAAAAAGACAAAGGTGTCCACGGAGCTGAGTAATAATTGAGCAATTGTAGAGTTTGTAATGCGTCCTTCGTTCACACTCAGGGGGAACGATTCGGGCGTGGGGAACCACAGACGAGCGGGGAAGGCGGCCAGAACAGGCGCCAACAATTGCCCAAGCTCTGTGATCCTATCTTGGGATATTTGGTCCTACTCCCTTAGTGAGTGTATTTATACGTCTTGCAGGAAAACCGAGCACTCTGTCCGTGTCACGTGGAACGCGTGTGCACGCGCGCGCAATTAATATCTCAGTCTTAATTTGAATCGGCTCTATGAAGGCAGACAGCGTCCACACGGTACGTGTTTATAACAGTCATCAGGTGGGTGCAGCGTGGAAGGAGTTCCCTTGTATTGGAGTGTGGTGGTGGGTCGCAAGCACAGGAGTTTAGAAAAAAAAAAAACCTTCTTTACAGCAAACCTATGCAATATTTTTTTTGTATATTGCCCCGTACATCTCCGGGCGGTGCATTTACCGTCGGGAGTACATCACTCGTCACAAACGTGAAGAAAAGTAAAACGTTAAAAAGATAAAAAGACGTTGGCGTGTGAGAGAGGATAGTGTGTACTGCTTATTATCATTTAACATAATCCATTGTAATTGATATGATTACATTAACACCCCCCCCACTCTGGTCTTCGCACCTGATAGGCTCACAGTGATGACATCACCTTTTACTTTAAGACAGGTAACAGGAAGGCTTTTTTTTACAATTCTGGCAAATCGCCTGATGAAGCTAGTAGCAGTCACCGGCAAAACGTCGTACTCAAATTGTTAACACACGGGTGTGCTGAAGTAGTCGCTAATTGACACATTTTGTTTACGTGACAAACCTTTAGAATAGGCTGTGGGTCGGGTGGTGGTGCGTTAAGGACACATTTTATATTTACGCGATCTAATAACAAAAAAACCTTTATTATGAATAATATTGGTCGTGAAATGCTGCGTGTTAAACGGCGTGCGCGTTAAACGGCGTGCGCGTTAAACGGCGTGCGCGTTAAACGGCGTGCGCGTTAAACGGCGTGCGCGTTAAACGGCGTGCGCGTCGCTTGTGCGAACGATTCCCTCGTAGAACCGCATGCACGAGAGCATGAAGCTGTTCGACAGCATCTGCAACAACAAGTGGTTCACGGACACCTCCATCATCCTCTTCCTCAACAAGAAGGACCTGTTCAAGGAGAAGATCAAGAACAACCCCATCACCACTTGCTTCCCCGAGTACACGGGTACTGCACAAGCGCCCACACCGTCGATCACGGCCGCTGAGCGAGTGCGACGCTTAGTCTCTTGCCTGCCTTTCCAGGCTCACCTTTAATCGGCGTCACCATTATATATATATTTTTTGTCAGCCAGGTCGCCCGCGCGTACATTGTGGGTCGAGTCTAGCGAGAGCAATCGAGACCAGTCACGGAGGCTATTCAACAGGGTTGGTTGGTCGAGTCTAATTTTTAGGCAAAAGCCACCCCGCCAATTATCACGCAGTAGCGCGTCTCTAGAACACCAAGGGGTGCACACTCACAATGTTACAGGATGACCCCTTTATCCCGACACTCACACCTAAGCCAACGCGTTCCCGAACACTCGCACGCCCGTAAATAAAGACACGTTTAGCCTTAGAGATGGCGTTTACCACCCGCTTTGGGCTGCATTCACAAAGCAAACCGACTCCAGGTGAAGCTCGACCCTGCGCGTCGTGGGCCACCACCGGCTTGAGACCGACGCCGGAGCAGAGGAAGTGAGCCATCCGCCTGCTGGCTCCTTCCCACCATGGGGTGGCGTCAGAGGCAGCCTCCTTCTGCTCCTCTCCCCCCTCCCCCCCTGCCGAATTTCCTTGACCGTCACAGCTCCCCATCCCCACTGAAATTCACACAGGGACTGTCAACGCAGATCCTGGTGCACCACAAAAAAAAGACATGTATTTTAATATCAGCGCTCTAACCGCACAGTCCATAGTCCTGCCGAGCTGCTATTTACAGCCTCAAGCTTGGCTGTTTCCTTGGACCGCTCCTCTCCACTGCTGGATGGAGCTCGAGAGCAGCGATGCTTGTGGCTCGACTCTCCCTATATTCACCCTCCACCTCAATTGTGTGGTGGGGGGGGGGGGGGGTTCATATTTATAGGAAGCTGGCTGGGTTGGGCTGGCTCCATTGTGATTAACACTTTGAGGGAATTTGGTCTTCCACCTGTTCCAAACACAATAACCCAACTTGCTGCACACCTTCATAATTTTCAATTACTCCGTGCACATGCTTCTATCTCTCCTCCCTGCCTCCCAGAACACTATTTTCCCCAACCCCCTTGCCCTATACAGGCGGACAGCACGCCCTATTTGTATTTTCCCCTGGGGATTTATTTGTACCATGTGACAGCGAGCAAGAGCACGGTGTCCAAGGGCCCCAACGAGCCGGGCGGCTGGCACTGTTGTGAAGGTGTCCTTGTTTCAAGGGTTGATGATGCGCTCATGTAACCCATTCCGATGACGTACACGATGTCATCAGTTTTTTTTTTATGACGTACACGTATGAAAAACTAAAATAAAGAGGTGAGCAGTGCAAGGAGAGAAGCATACATACATATATATGTGTAAATGCAAACATAAAGAGGATGTCAACAGCAAAACATGTACATTCTTGCAAGCGTTGTGTGTCCAGATCACATCGCCACTATTGCACGCACTTGGTGGTTGCATTTCTTTTATGGTCGCTAATGGCCATGAAACCTGTGGTTGTGTCTTGGTTGACGATTGTCCTGGTGGTGGTTGTGCTTGTGGTTGCGTCACGGTCACTTGGAGCTCCATTGGTTGTTTGTTGTTGTCGTCCTGGTGATTCTTGTCGCACAACTGTTGCCTATATCCCTGTTGATTGTGTGTGTGGTTGTGCCTCTGTTGCCGATAACCCCGATGCTTTGTCGCCTCACCACCGTTACCAATATCCCTGTCCGTTGTGGCCGTGTTTGCGGCGCGCGCATCACTTATTTATTTCCCCCGGCGCCCGCCGTTTTGCCGCGCAGGAGGTAACTCGTTCCACGAGACGTCCTCCTACATCCAGGCGCAGTTCGAGAACCTGAACCGGCGGAGCGACAGCAAGGAGGTGTACACGCACCTGACGTGCGCTACCGACACGCAGAACGTGCAGTTCGTGTTCGACGCCGTCACCGACGTCATCATCAAGAACAACCTCAAGGACTGTGGCCTCGTGTGATGGTGCTACGGCTACCCACCCCGGGGCAGGTACGTTGATAGTAGCCCCCCCTCTCCCACCCACAACCCACCCCCCCCACTGCCCCCTCTCAGCCACACTCTCCCTCCACGTCTCAACAGTCTGATAAGGCCATATGGGTGATCGTGGTCTTTAAATCTCTGCATGGCTTTGCTCCACCTCGTTACGCCTTTCTCATCTCCTTCCATGTCTCCTCCTCTCGTTCTCTTCATTCCCAATCCTCTCTCTGTCTCTCATTCTCCCTGTGCCCAGTCCCCCTTTCGGTCCTTCTCCCTTTGAACCCCTCCACTGGAATACTCCCCGTGCATTGAGCAGCACTGCCCATAGACTCAACACTGTCGATAGATTTTGATTTAAAGCTTTCGTGACTGCAGTGATTCATATTCTTGGTTCTTTCAGTAAAGTCACGTTGAAGGGAAACAATAAAGTAATAAAATATATTATTTTATTGTTTCCCTTCAACGTGACTTTACCGAAAGAACCAAGAATACTGTCGATAGACTCAACACTGTCGATAGACTCAACACTGCCCATAGACTCAACACTGTCTATAGACTCAACACTGCCCATAGACTCAACACTGTCGATAGACTCAACACTGTCCATAGACTCAGCACTGCCCATAGACTCAACACTGCACCATAGACTCAACACTGCCCATAGACTCAACACTGTGGATAGACTCAACACTACCCATAGACTCAACACTGCCCACAGACTCAACACTGTCCATAGACTCAACACTGTTGATAGACTCAACACTGCCCATAGACTCAACACTGTCCATCGACTCAACACTGCCCATAGACTCAACACTGCCCATAGACTCAGCACTCCTCATAGACTCAACACTTCGCATAGACTTAACATTGCCCATAGACTTAACACTGCACCGTAGACTCCACACTGCACATAAACTCGGCACTGCTCATAGACTCGGCACTGCTCATAGACTCAACACTTCGCATAGACTCAATATTGCCCATAGGCTCAACACTGCACCGTAGACTCCACACTGCACATAAACTCGGCACTCCTCATAGACACTGCCCCTGTACATTAAGGCAGTCCCCCTCCTTAACCTCCTTCCAGTCTTCTTTTAAAGCCTCAGCTGTCCTCCATTACCCATTATTTTCCTCTTTCCTCCTCTTGCCCCTCCACTCCTTCCCATCCCTCCCCTGCCCTTTCGTGATCCCGAAGCACCCCTCTATTGCTGCCACTCAATCCTCAATCTGTTGAGCACAGCCACTGCCAACTACATCATTCCATTCTCTCACCGTTTTGTAAGCTATGTCAAGCACCTCGAGTGAAGACACTCTCTTTATAAATATAAATGAGATTAGCTACTTTGCTATTTATGCAATTGATATGGGTATGTTTTATTTTGGCCGTTGGGAGACAGAGAAAGACGTTTGTGATAGGCTATGCCAATGAGACGTCACAAATGATACAAATGTCACCCTTTGAAATGGATTGTGAAGATTTGGGTTTGCATCTGGATTCAAGAAAAAAATTGTCCCGTTACTCTCATTTTTACCATTTCATTTTGCGATGAGATGGTAAAATGTTGTCTGGTTTGTAAAATGTTGTTCGCCCCATTTTGTAAAAATATAACATCAGCAATAAAATGTTTAAGGCGTTTCCTAAAATTATAATGATCTCTTCTCTCGCGCACACACCGATCACCGTTCAGGGCACATGGTCACGAGCAATGTTAATGCTTATAACTCTACACGCCTGTTCACTGTACTCAACGAACCTCGTTGACTCACTGTCCAGAATCCCAAGCAGAGCCGATTTCATAAGTCTCTTGAGAGGCACAAAACCAGTCACGATTACTATTATTACTATTATTATTCCGCCTGAAAGAAACACCGCGGGAAGTGTTTTCGTTGCGAGATCTGTCCAATTTTGGCCGGCGGTTTGAGCAGCAGCGGCAAGTTGTGGCTCGTCTCATGTGGATGTGCGGTCTGAGGCCAGGCCAACGTGAATGCCGAGCGCAGGTGTCAAGTACTTGGGAATTGTTAAAGCAGGTACAGCTTGATTTAACACGTAGTCGGCCTTCACGGCCAGTGTTATCCATAATAGAGGTTTTTTTGTTTTGTTAGATTGCATAAATATAAACGTTGTCGTAAAACCCGCCACAACTCGACACAGCAAATTAGTAAGGTTTGTGATGTAAATAAAAACATGCCAATTGGTTACGAGTTAAGCACACCGGTGTGTTGGAGAGTAAACCCACAACATGTACAATTCGAGTACGACGTTTCGCCGGCAATTACAACCAGCACCATCAGGCGACAGCCTCAATTGTGGAGATGCCCTCCTGTTTCTGTCTTAAGTGCTTGGAAAAGTGCGAGGCACGGCCAGATTCTTTTTTTAAAAAGTAAATCATCGAAAACACAAATTAAGCATGGGCACGTAAGTACAACTTACTTTGTTTCGTCAACCCATATGTATTTATTAACATTGTACATGATTAAACTTTTGAGAACCAAAGGGATGCGAGACTGCAGTAAAGGTTAAGTACCACTGGTTTAGACGGTGCAAGGCTAGCACGTAGGCACTGTGTTTCATGGACAGAGTCTGCGGTAATGTCACAGTGCTGGGCTATGATTCATATGTTCTCTCCCAATTGTTGAGTCATCTCCACTGGCCGTTCGTAAGCCAGTTGTGGAAATTCAACATTCCTATGGCAGAGGGCCAGCCTTTCCCTTGGGGCAACAACTATTGAGCACGAGGAGGTTGCTGCGTGGCACAGAGAGCAGAGCGCTGAGCTGGCAGTCACTGAGATCATAGGTTCAAATCCAGGCAGCCACCTGTGATCAAACCGTAGTTCTCAAGTGTAGCGAGTTTCAGCCAGTTTACTAATGACTGCACAAACGAAATCATCACGATGCATTTGTTTCTGCACTTAATTTGGCGAAATTCCGGTGCTCCATACGAAAAATGCCGTGTGATGATCCGCTACCCTGTGTGGCAGAGCACACAGGCAGTGCTATCCTCTTCTGTCTGGGACTGCGGTCACGTGAAGGGATTTCAGATGTAGCTCTGTGACATATGCCCCTGTGGGCCGTTCTCCAGCGTGTCGGGTGACATGACACTGATAGCACCCCACGGGACAAAAAAAAAATCGTGGGAACCACTTAAAATGGTGTTCTTGTTATTCAGAAGACATGTAACGACCCTTTATGCCTCCGGTGATGGACTCGGTAACTTTGGCAGTCATGTGGAGTCACTGCACCACAAACCACAGGTCACGGCTGAGTTGGAGCGGCTGATATAATTGCCAGCTCGTGGTGTGCATACCGTCCCTATGCAGAGGCCAGTAGCCAAGTGCATAAGACACCTACGTTGATATTCTATTCTATACAATAGAATTCACATTCATACAGCGGCTGAATGTATTATCAGAGCGTGTGTTTTTGTTTGCACGTTCACCACAAGTCCGCGTGGCTAATGCTGACAGGATTCCTTGACAAAGGTCCCTCTCGCAGGGCTTGCTGGCTGTATTTAGGAAGGTTCACTCCCCAGTTGATCCAGCGACGTTTTTTTCATCTTACCCCGGTTGCATACACAACTGCCGTCACTCTCTCTCCTCTCTCTCTCTTATCTCTCTCTCTCCCCCCCCCCTCTTCTTTTCCCCACTCTCTAGATCAGAGCGAGGAGTCTTTATTTAATAAATCGGTCTTTACCCGTTTCCACGCTTGTTCAACGTACGTGCATACACACTGTGGGCAGCTTTGTACAAAGGAGTGGAGACAACGTGCCGGAGAGTAGAGTAAGACGAGAGAGAGGAGGGGTAGGCAGGGGCAAGACCATGAAACGATCCTTTAAATGTTTATTTTTTGTAAACAAAAAAAAGATTCCGTCTATTTCGTGCCGTTGTGTTCACTCCATTAGCCTTACACGCACACGCAGGTTGAGTCTCGAAGAGGACTTCACTACAAAGATCACAGCGTAAGGGAGCTCAGCGCCATGGTGGCGAGATGTTATCTCCCCCGCCTGGTATAAAGGTGGTCGTGGGTGTGATCCCGACCCAAACGTCTGCTGTGTATTTGCAGTGTGCATGTCTCTCTCCCTGTGGTGGTCACGTGGATTTTGCTCTGGGTCCCTCCGGTATTTCGCTCCACATTCAGAAACGTGCGTTTAGAGTATTTGGCTGCTATACATTCCCACGTGGTAAGCCACTTCGTTGAGTTATCATTTGTGGCCAGCTGGCTTCTGAAAATAAGCTATATAGCTCAGTGGGCTTTACCAGTTTAAACAAAATAATGCTGCACAGAAACACATGAGTGTGTGCACGAGATGAAACAGGCTGCAGGCGCGACACGGCAGTCATCGCTTCCCTTCTTCCGGGCGTGTATGCACAGCAGCCAAATGGTACCGCTCCACCCTAAGGGGTATAGATCACACCATCCGCAGGTGAGCGTTTGCCTGCCGTCATCCCCCTTTCCGGGAGTTGAGTCGCGTCGTGTCTCGTCGTGTCTCTTCGCAGGGCGCGGAGCGTGGCCGCCGACGCACGACCGCACACGACGGAGACGATGTCGCCGATCGCAAAACGCACACGTCTCACGTCGTCGCCTCCGCCAACGCTCCCGTCGCCTTCTGCCCCGCTGGACTCATCGCTCATGCTGTGGTTGGATTTACCAGGGAGTCGTGGCTTGCTTCCCGTTCCCCACCTCCACCCTCCCCCCCCCCCCCCCCCGCCCCGATGGAAATGAAGTTGAAGATGCAACTCGAAATAAGATATTGCTCTCTCGCCTCGTGGATACTCGACCCAGGCTGTGGGTTCCAAGAGTGGCGTCAGGGTGACGTCACGGGAGTGCCGCATCGACGCCCTTTGCCGTGATCGTGAATCATTTTTGTTCCTCTCCCTTCTCATTGACGAAGCTTCGAAGTTGTGTTCGCGCAGCTTCGGGCACACGCAATCACGCGAGCGTCTGCAACAGCTGCTTGTGCGTTGGGCAAAAGCAAATACGAGCAGAACTCCTCCGTTCTGTGCCTCCATGCATGAACAAAATAACAAGCTGGCCCACCTGACTATTGGCTCTCTAGACCAAACATCATCAAGCAGCATTCGCTTAAGCAGGCAAACTGCACCGGCCTCGACCTTCTTGGTCTCATCAGCAGAGTCAGGCTTGTTGAACATATGCTGCCGGATTACCAGATTGCCATTGGAAAATGAGCACTCCATCTAAAATATTGGAACCCCCCCCCACATATTTAAATGCAAAAAGCAATGCCATGCACATTGATTTCGAGCATCACTGCTAAGATGGTAGAGGCTTACCGATGGCATTTCTGCTTAACATTTGTTTCTGCCCGTAATGTTCCATAGCAAAGCATGATGAGGTGGCTTTCTTTGGGCGGTGTGTTATTTTTCCGTGAGGCTATTTCTACCTAGTGTGTGTGTGTGGCGTGGAATTGTAATCGCATGAGTGCGGCCCGGGCGGGCGGGCGGTCGGGCGGGCGGGCGGGCGGGCATGCATCCCCCCGCTCCCATCGTTCACGCTCAGGGGTCCACCCATTGAAGTGGCTCAAGCTGCCGCTGAGAGAGGCTCGTGAGAGAAATTACAAGTGACAAATTGCGCGCGCACACAGAAGGCGCGAGACTTCGGGCCACGCAACGTGCGGGTACAACCCACAAAACGCATCGGAGAGCCGTACGGCAACACAGCATTGGCTTTGTCTCTCCAAGTTTTCGGCACCAATCTGCCCTTGGCCTCGGAGAGATTTCGCCGCTTGATTGCATTTTGCGCGCCCCCGGCACAGGTAATTGTAGAATGCGTGCTGCTGCTGTTGTTGGCGATGTTCTCACGGTGAGAGATTCATCACAAGCCCCCCCCCCACACCTCCCCCCCCCCTTCACAAATTATGGGGGACGGGCCTTTCGGAAAACCGCGGCCGTACCGGCGAAAGCGGGACGGCGGTTCGGTGGCCCTAACGGAAGAAGACGGAAACCTGGCGCATGCGGAGGTGCTGCCAACCCGGTGACCCAAGTTCCATTCCCGCTCACGACTGGTAGCAGTGGCGAATGTTTGCACCAGTCCTGCGTGTCCCCCCCCCGAGGTCGATTCGGCCTCATGTACGCTCTGTATGTTGAACTTTTTTCACACCGTACATGGCCAAACGTGCGAATTGGAGATGGCAGGGGAAAAGAAAAGAGTGCCTGGTGTGGTGTGTATAATATCAGCACTGGGGAGACAAAGGCGGCCTGGCGTGGTGTTGGCCACCCATCCCCTCGTGTGCTGGGGCCGGCCTTCATAGGTGCTCGCTAACAGCACTTGCCCCAACAGTCAGTTAAAGGCGACACTGGGATAAAACATAAAAATACCACCCCCTACCTCCCCTCTCTTCTCATGCGATGAAGCCAGAGCCCAATGGGTATTGTTTTAGACTGGTGTCCTGGATTCATAACCCACTCTGGAGTTTGTTTTTTTGTAATGTAGCGTTTGCATCTCATGGTTCTAACAAGTACAAAATAATTGATTGGTATTTGGTAACATAGTTGTAACATTTATTAAATAAATAAACCAATATGTATTTTTTGACGTGCTAATATCGCCCTCATTAAAGTCGGCATCAGTGCACGTTAGCGGTGCTGATGGGGGGGTACAGAGCAACAAGGATGATAAGATAAACTCGTCACGACCTCGGCGGCGAACATCGACTGAGCAGAGTCAATTGTAACTGAGCAGAGTAAATTGTAACGAACCGCATGGTAAATTAAAAGCAAAGGCTGTTTTTACTTAACAATTTTATTTTGCGGGACGGCAAGTCTTAAAGGGTGTGTCTTGCACAGACCACGGAATTTATAGGCACATCAGTGATGACTGAATAACGTCATGAACATTGCTCTCTGCGTCAGTGTTTATGTTCAACAGCAAGGAATGCACTCGGGAAGCAGTACGGAGGAGGAGGAGATGGGAAGTGTGAGCCCGTGGTCGTTAAAGAGGCCAGATTTTTGGCTGGGTCCGTTGCTTCGGCTGCGGGGAAGAGATGAGAACTGCGGTCACCCCCAGCGTTTAAGGTGTCCGAGCCCGGGGCCCCACATTTATCGATAGCATTCTTTAAGATTGATGTCGATGTCGCCATGGTGGCGAGATGTTAACTACCTCGCCTGGTATGCAGGAGGTTGTGAGTTCGATCCCGACCCTGACTCCTGCTGTATATTTGGAGTTTGCGTGTTTTCCCCGTGGTCGTGTGGAGTTTTATCCGGGGTCCTCTGGTTTTCCCCTCCACATTTCGACTCAACATGCATTTAGAGTCGCTTCTCTAAATTCCACCTGATAAGCCACTTCATTCAGCGATCACTTGTGGTCAGATCGCTTCTGAAAAAGAGCTCTATAGCTCAGTGGGCCTTACCTGGAAAATTTTAAAATAATTGTATTTTTAGTTCAACAGAGGAGGAATTTTTAAAATACACAAACACTCTCCTGAAGTCCTCTCTTTGTGGTTAGCAGACCTCAACATTCGTATTTAGCTCCCGAATCATATTGCCATGAGGTGCAATAATATAATTCATTAAAATGCAAGTTGCATTTTTAAACATATCAGATACCTGGTAAAAAACAATTAAAGCTAGGAGTAGAGCGGAATGGAGCGTTATAAACGTTGGCTAATGAACAGTTGCTAATTTTAAGATGGCAATTATACGATTGCTGCACCATTATTTCTTTTTTTCCCCGTCATTTTCCTCCAATCTGATCCCAACTGGGCTATTGGCATCACGAGAGACGAAAAATCCATTCCGACTTCTCGCGTGGCATTTCAGCCCTTCGTGGGGTGGAATGGCCCCACAAAAGAGGACATTGTGGACAACCTTAGAGGTCCCCATCAAGTGACTACTGAACGCACAACTAGAGGGGGGGGGGAGGGGGAAGCATTGTCCCACTCGCTTTGCATACGAGAGTGAGGATCGTTGAATAACAGTTAAACCGATGTTGTAAATTGAGCTCGGAGCTAGGATTTAGTGAAATTGCTTCACCGTTATTAATGTGTCACAGTAAATGCAGTTGCATCAAATTGCTTTATTTACTCAGTTTGTAGTTATGATTTTAACTACTGTAACCCTACGTCTTTTTTTTACTCGAGGAGGACCAAAGTAGGTGAGTTTTAAGAGAGCAATAGAGTAAGTATGTTGTTGACATCTGCATTTTTGGAGTGTTGGGATTTTTTCCGGGTACTTCAGTCTCTTCCGACGCACAAAACAACTGACTAGCCAATCAAAGGCGGGCCCTCTCGGAAGAGTCCTGACACTCGTTGAGGCTTTGCTTAGAAAATAATGTTTTTTTTTATTAACCCCACGTAAAAAAAAGCACATTGAAGAGTCACTTGTCTTCGAGAGTTCGCGGTGTCACGATTCGCACACTTGACTCGCAATCCGGAGGTCACCGGCTTACTTTGAACTCCCGGCGCAAGTCAAAACAATGGGGCAGGTATCTCAATTCCTCCCTCCTGTCCCAACGTCCCCCCACCATCACCTCTATCCATCCTACACTATAAATGGTAGCACCACAGTTGGTCGATGGGCAGATCGCGAGTGGTGGGTATAAATTGTGGGGCTTTTCCCACCTCCGTGAAGGTGGAAGAGTGGACGAAAATATCCTACACAGAGGGCCTCTCGAGCAGAGACCCATCCACCAGCAGTGACGTGAGCCAGCAATTGCAGGGCTACACTTTTACCTTGTAGACCAGGAGTCCGCTCCAGAGCGCTGGCACTGTTTTCAGCATCAGCGGCTTTTTCCGCGGGGCTAACAGTGGGTGGCATTGTTTACTCTCGTATCAATTCACTGCTTAGTTTATAGTCGAGTCAAAGCTGCGTGTGATAGATTCAAATCTTGGGGAGAATGCTTAATGAGGCCACGAAGAAGAGCTTTTGGCTCTCACCCTTCGTCTTTGAGATGTAAGGGGGGGGGGGGGGGGAGACATCCCTCCCCCGCTTCTGTGAGCACTTTGCGTGCATTGAGCTTTGTGCAGATTGCTTTACCCGTCGCTGAGACGTGTGCGTTGTGCGAGTTCGCGCTGAGCGTAATTGAGCCGTCTCGTCCGTGTTGATGTATTAGGCCCTCCCTGTTCAGATTTTTTTTCCCGGCTGGTTGCAAACGTTAAACGCTTTTGGTGATTTATTACCCTTTCGCGTCCTCGTCGTCATGTATATATGCATGCACGTTGAACTTCTTTCGCACCGTACGTCGCCAACCGTGCTAATCGGAGGTGCGGGGGAATGACAACAAACTAAACACAAAAAAAGCAATTCTAAAGATACGTGGTTTCAATATAGATTTTAAAGTGCATACATAGTTCCAGTAGTTTCTTAATGTCTGAAGGAAGAGCGTTCCAGACGGTCGCAGCAGCATATATGAAAGCGGACGATGCAGTGACCGTCTTTGTTCGATGGCTTGCCAAAAGCCGCTGTGAGGATGACCGGAGTTCGTGTCATGGTCTATGCATGTCCAGCCCTGGTCAATGCACTGCTGGATGAAGGCCTGCCCCCACAAGCCCGCTGCCATCTCTCACGATCGTGCAGTGTGAACAATCCACCCAGCGCCTGCGCACGAGCGCATCTCGTCGTTTAGTCTCCACGGTGGACGTCCCCTGGGACACGTTCCATTTTCTTGGCCGCCACCCTGTCGTGATTCTCGACCGTGTTGGCCCGCCATCCCTTCTGCCAAAATGTCTTGCCCAAAGCCCACTCATTCTTAACGTTTTGCGGGTGTAAATGGATAACCCGTTCCAAATGGATAACCCGTTCCAAATTGGATAACCGACGATAACCATGTGTCAACTTCGGCGGTGGATGCATTTGCCCACCAGTGCGGTGATGGCATTATTGGCGGGTTACCAAATAATAATACAGTAATAATAATGTCAACTTGTGATGTGCCGCACAACGTTCACTAAGTCTCATAGAATGAGAGGACGACTGGGGAAGCGCATGGAAACCACAGACACTCGGGAAGGTGGCCACGCGATGAGCCGGCACAAACGATTGCCCAAGCTCTGCGGTTCTCGATATTTTAAGGTGTTAACGGCTAATTCATGAGAGTTTACATGATGGAGGAAGTCGGAGAGTCCCTGGAGAAAAGCCACGCGTGCAAGGGGGAAACGCTCTATCCCATACAGACGGAAAAAGTGGAGTCCACTTTTTTTTTCTGTGCCGCGTTCTCCTCGACACCCAGGGGAAGGGAGTTTGACAACATTTGCGTGATCCACCAACCCTCGCCTCCTCAGGCATGCACAGCCACCACCGACCGGATAATATTTGTATTTAAATTATTATATATCAACTTGCTTCACCAGTTATTGCGGAGTTGATAATTTGTGATTGTACCCCCCGAACTCGAGAAGTCAGTTTCCACCCAACCTGACCCCCAAACTCCTTCACGCTTCCTCTTTAATCGCCATTCCAGGTCTATCAATCTTGCCTGTCCGCGTGCCAATTATTACAAAAAGTGTGTCGGTTTGCGTGTGCCTGCCAATGTAATGGATAAGAAAAAAAATTATAATCAGTATCTGAAAAAAATCCATCCCTGGTATGGAATTTTAACTCCAGCAGAGAGGGTTGGATCTGCCCAATCCGAGCCGTGTCCACACGCACCTGTAGAGGCAGACTGCATTAGGTTTGAGGCGTGTTGCCGATGTGCGTTCTCGAGTGGCTAATTTAACTCTCATCAATTTTGTACACGGTTTTTTTTGTACTTTAGATTTGTTTTTTCTACATTTGTTGCGCGTCTACAATTGCTGTTTATTTTAGGATGCTATTACGGTATTTTATTACGCCCGGGTGAATTTTCAATTAACATTCACATGCTGGTGTTCGTCGTTGTATGCGTTTGCTGTGTGGTACCACAACGCGTGCTGCAGCTATAAAGTCGCAGGTATGGTCCCGAGTAACGCATTGCACACTGATTATTTGGTGATGCCGCCGCTGCTTGCGTTGGCAGCGGTGCACAAGCACAGGTTGACGATTAAAAACCACAAGCACAGGTTGACGATTAAAAACCAAACTCAATACATTCATCAATAACACCGTGGCCGTAAAAGAAACAAATATAATAGGGGACATTTTAGGCAATGGCCCCATGTATGTGTATATATGTTCGAATTTGTTTCGCACCGTACGTAGCCAACCGTGCTAATCGGAGGTGCGGGGGAAATACAAGTCTAAAAGCATGTGCTTGTCTTCTTTGGTTCTTTCGGTAAAGTAACGTAGAATGAGAATAAAATAATAAATTGATAAAATAAAATAACACAATAATATTCTCACGACGTTTCGGCCACAACACAAGCGGCCTTCATCAGGTGAAGGGACGAGACTGTCTGGAGGACAGCGCTGGAATGTGCTGTGTATGTATTTTTCTTTTAAGGCCACGGTGTTATTGACGAATGCGTGAAGATGTTGTTTTTTTTGTGTGTGTGCGAGTCGTACACTGCACAGGTGGCTTGGGGTAAAGTTCGGATTTCATCGTTTGCATACCGGCCACGTGGACGTATCCCTTATCGGCGCCTTGCCAGGTAGAGCACGGTGAGGCCCTGCACAGGGTGCGTGTGTTTGGGTGCGCCAGTGATGTAGGCTGAGATGGTGGGTTTGTGATGCTGCTGCTTGCATTTTTTTTATGTTTCTTAACAGTTTTAATGGCGATATTAAATTGACTAGGGAATGTGCAAGGGTTTGTTTTTGTCGTTGTTACCATAAAGTTAAGCAATACTTATTCAAGAGGTAATGTTGTAAAAGCTTGACGTAACATACTCCTTGGAAGTTGGTGTACATTTTGAGTATTGTTGCTGTGTTTGATTGACTTGTTTCCCAGTGAGCTAATTGCAGTGCCAGTGGTACATTTCTGGTCATTTGTATATGTGACATGCTTTGAGACTCCTCGTTACAAAATACTTTCAAACGCAATGCTGAAAATACATTACTGCAAAAATGAAGATGATCATGCAAACGGCTATAGCAGTCACTTCAAGCATATATATTCATTTGAATGATTACATCACTCGCAGTTTACATTTTTTACACATTTTAAAGTAACAACTCTATAAGCATGTCTTAAATGTTTTATCGGCGTAGTGTTTCTGCACTTTTGCTCCATTCGCATTCGGACACTTGTTTTAATTTTGCTTCCCTATATTTTTGGGGGTTGTGCTTCCTTGAGTTGTTTTTTCTTCTTTCATCTTTACATGTTGCCAGGTTCAGGGAGTCGTGTCAATCGGGTCTCGCCTGATTTTTTTTAAGTTACTAAGACCAAACCCTCTCTGCGGGCTTTATTACAAGTCCAATTCCACAATGATGTCTGCACGGAGTCTCAAACCCATGGTGGTTGTATTTTGCCAGGTGCCGTCATCAGCCTTTATTTCTTTATTTAGGCTCCCACACTGCATTGTTCCTGAAATTATCATCGAGTCGGGGGCATCTCCCATTTACATCCCTGAGCCATTGGTGGAAATACCCCTCTCCTGTGGCACGGACGAGTCTAACCGTAGGACAACTACTGTTGACTTCCCCACAAAGCGGTACCTATTCTCTCGACCCCGAGGGGGTGGATGATGGGCCGAGTCAACCCTCCCCCCCGCTCCCCCACCAATAAAAAAAAACAGGATTTGAACCTCGCAACATTCCGATTTGAGAGCCGCTCCGCTCTACCGCCGGAGCCACCTGGCCGGGTCGCGCTGCTTGAACTGTGCCCCGAGTGCGAGTGGCCGGCAAGTCGTGTCCACGAAACCATTCGTCGTTCGTGTGGCCGTGTTTTTTTTTTCTCCCTCCGCTGGTTCCCCCGTCGCGTCGTCCACGATGCGTCATCGCCGTCGCGCAATCGTCGTGCTGCCGCCGCCCTCGATGGACTTATATCTTTTACAGCCGTTTTTAGTTCTCTTGATGTGGCTCAATTGTTGAATTGGAACGGTAAACAAGTGTCTTGAGGTCCACGCTGCCCCGACTCCACTGCCCCTCTCTCTCTCTGTGTGTGTGTGAACCCCGTGTGACCTGAAGCTGTGTGACTCACCGTGCCTTTGGTGTTTAGATGTCACCCAAACGGCAAACGGCACTGACGCATGGTTACCGCTGTCGGCAATGCACGCGTGCCCGCGTGTGTGCGGTTAGCGCGGGATTTGGCCGTGCAAGCGCTTAGTGCGCTGTGCTACGAACCCGGCGACCCGTGTTTTGATACCCAGCTCCACGGTTCTCAACGCCGGTGAATATTATCTGAATCGGCCCTGGGTCCTAGCCTAGGTCGACTCAGCCTTAAATGAATACCTGGTGCGGTGTGGAAACATCAGCCCTGGAAAGACAAAAGGCAGCCTGCCCTTGGGCTTCAAGGAATACTGTGCCAGGCGTGTGAAGACCAGTCCTGGGAACACAAAGGTGGTCGAGTGCAGCGTTGGCCACACCACTTCCTAATGTGCTGTGCTGGCTTTGAGGCGCTTGCTAACAGCACTTCTCCCCCCAAGTCTGTAAGGCTACACAGGGGATCAATTGTTTTATGTTTGTGAGTTTCAACTGCAGCAGTAAAGTGACAATTTCAATTGTGTGTTTGTTACCATTAATTGCATTTTGTTAAAATGTTTGCATAAAATGACACTCACATTTATACATTTTTTTGAGGAATTCCAAAGTCTGGCAAACTCTCTTGCGTTTACCCCCCCGTAACATTTATAAGTGTATTTGAAAAGGCATAAATCTGCATTATGAACTTAGACTGATCCCTTTTTCAAGGCTGCCTCAAGGATATTAAAACCATAAACAATCTTCTATTTAAATCCCTATCAAGATCTTGAAGCTTTGCCGAGTTTCCTGAAGAAAAGAAACGGGAGATGCATCATCTCGGTGCAGCCACCAGTTCGTTGTGATCAGACCACGGTCACTCCACTGCTGGATGAAGGCCTCCTCAAGCTGCCACCCACCCACCTCTCAGTCCTGCCACTGGTTGCACAACCACAACCAGTGGCAGGCCAGGGGTTCCTGGAGGCCTGGGGCAAAATCCCACGTACTCTAGCTCCCACCGGCCTGGTGTGGGCTGGCTGCCCTCTTTGTGCGAGGCCGATTTCCCCCCAACCCACCTCCCCGGGGCCTCACAGCAGAGGGCAGGCTCCTGGGCCACAGCTTCGGAGGGTGCAACAGGCTCATTCGCCGGCACTTCCACGCGCCGAGTGGAACTGGTGAAGCCACGTTCATTGGTAGATTGCACGTAATTACCACACGCAGATGAGTGTGTAGCAATTACACCCCCCCCCCCCCCGCCCTTGCCTCGTCAATTGTCTGATTTGAGCCGTGCAGTTGTAATCATTGCGCAAACCCGACTGCGAGGTGAATAGATCGTTCTGATGAGCAATTGTGCCTAATTTCAGCCGGAACGCTGCTGCAGCAATTATTTTGTCACACTTCATTCATCTATTATTCTTTTTTCCTCATAGGAACATAAGGTACAGTAATAAAACACATGGATGGGCGTGCTTTGTTCTCTAGTGGTAGTGTATTATGCAAATAATCCTTATTCCAAGTCAGGCTTAGCAGTGTTCCTCAAAATAGCGAAGTGAGCAATTGAACCCCCTGGGAATGGCTCACAAAATGTGTTCTGATTATAAGAATAAAATCCACCTCCTTATTACGATCACCTGCACCATTCATCTTGAACGAAGGAAGCAACAACATGCAAGAGTCGGGATGACCAGAAAAAGAAAACATAGCTCTTGCACCTACCGCACTTAGGGTTGCTGTTCCATCGAGCTGCCCAACACGAGTTTGAATTGGCAACAATAACAATTCACAACAACTTATATACTATATATATTTTGTTATTTTGTTGTTTCTCTTCAACGTGACTTTACCGAAAAAACTAAGAATATGAATTACTGCAGTCACGAAAGCTTTAAATCAAAACTTATATACTCTTTGGTTCTATTCGGTAAAGTCACGTAGGTAAAAAAATAAAACAACAAAAATCACGACGTTTCGGCCACAACACAAGCGGCCTTCATCAGGTGAAGGGACCAGACTGTCTCGAGGACAGCGCTGGAGTGAAACAGCCAAGCTCAGACCGTGACTTTTAAGCTGTGTGAGAGTAATTAAGGTGCCTTGACAAAGAAATTAGCATAAAAATTTGCATTTAATAGGCGGACTTAGCATGATGAAAGGTGGGGAGAGGGTCGACCTGTGCAGGCTGGCGAGGGGGCAACGTAGAGTCCACATGCTGGTGGTGTAAAAAAGGGATTTTTTTTTAAGAAGCTGCAAAAGTTTGGGGTACCACTACTTAAAAAATATACTGTACCATTGAAAATTAGTTAAATGTTTGGTTCGATTTAGAACATCTTTCCATTGGTTGCTTAATTTGAAACCATCTTTTCAGTTGAAATTGTGTTTGTAGATCTGAATGGCCTCGTGAACAAATCTCTGATAAAAACCCGTGGGTTTGCAAAGAACCTTGGTATCGGAGAAAATTATATCGTGATCACCCACAGCGTTGTAACAGTGATCAGCTACAGCAGAAGAATTCGTTCTGCCGTGTTTCAAATCTGATTTGTGCTCGCGAATTCGGTCAGAGACATGTCGCTTCGTCTCCCCGATATAGCAATCACCGTAGGTACAACTCAATTTGTAAACCCCGGGGTACTGTAAGTCAGGAATGACATCCTTCACGGATGGGATCAGATCACGAATTTTGTGTACTGTATTGAACCCTGCCTTTGAATCTGTTGTTTGTTTAGAATTTTGGAAATCTTTTTAGTAACGCCTGCTATATATGGTAGTGTGATGGTTTTGACCGGAGTATCAAGTGGTTGTTTCTGCATGGAGGGAGAAACAGCTTGGCGGATGGTACAGTCAGAGTATCCCTTCCTTTTGAGAGCCAGGTGTACATGTTTTAATTCACTGGTCAGGTGGTGTTGGTCTGAAATGCAATGAGCTCTATGGTATAAAGTTTTGATGAGAGAATTCTTCTGAGCTGGGTGGTGGTGGGAATCAGGCTTCAAGTAGGAATCCGTGTGGATGGGTTTCCTGTAGACAAAATGCCCCAACGAGCCATCAGGTCTCCTCTCAAACAGAACATCC